GCCTTCCTGGCACGACAGTCGTGTCATCGTTAAGCTCACAGCCTTCATCCCACAGCTTGGGACTGAGGCCCAAACCCAACTGAGAACCTCTCTGAGTTTCCACTTTCTCCTTTGTAAAGTGGAGATAATGACTCAGAGCTGCTAGAGCTGTTGAGATGGCTCAATCACGTGTCTGGCACCCTAACCAGTGCCCAGCAGCGGGTAGATGCCACCACTGTTGTGTCAGTTGACATTACCCATAACAAAATGCTAAGTGTCTATGCACAGGAGCAGTACATTAGGGAGGGTACATTACACTGAAAGGAAATGCTGTATGGAAAGAAGGAAGTAGATGCAGATACATAATGAACATAAAATGTATTTGGTTTGAAGGATTCTAAAGATGTAATTATGAAATGTTATGGTTGTTTGGAAATCTGCTAATAGGAATAAAATGCAATGAAGGAGTGAATTAAGGAGCTAGAGTATGGCCAGAGGAAGCCGAGATCTAGAAGAGATTTCCATTTGGGGTTTAACCAAGGAGGGAGGGTGAGGATCTAACAAGGACTGAGCTCCACAGGCCTCACTTCCAGCTACCCCTGGGGAAGGACAAGAAGTTCTGTGCATCTTAACCCCTCATGCCACCAGGGAGGCCCCTCTTCTGCTCCCCACTCTGTCTCTAGTGAATCCTCTCACCCCTCTGCATCTCTGGCCTGCACCCCAGCTCTTGTATGCATAAATAATTTTTTTTTTTTTTTTTGTGGGACCCTCGCCGGCCGCCAGGGAACGAACCAACGCTGCAGAGGCTGCGGGCAGCCTCTCAGCCCAGCACTCAACCACTGCGCCCCCAGGGGAGGCCCAAATAAATCTTTTTTAAGAAAAGTTCTCTGCAGATTTGAAAATAGGACTTGGGGCACAATGACCAGGAATAGGGAGCGTTCTGGGGTCTTCTTGGGAGAAGTTCTATGTAGAGCCTGGAAAGGGGCTGAGTGGATGTGGAGAATGTGCCCCTGTGGCCAGCTGAGGACGAGCCCAACCCCAGTGCTCAGCAGGCCGCGTGGAGCCCTGTCCGTCCTCCCTGCAGACCCGAAGCCTGCACGGGGCATGGCCGGCCCAGCTGTGCTCACTGTAAGCCACGGATGGCAGGTGGCGAGCTTCTCCCAGCCCCCGTTTTCCACTTCTTCCACAGCAAACTTTGTCAACAGAGGCACTGCCGGCACCTAGGATGGGTGCACGGGGCTGTCCCTGGCCCACACCTACCCTACACCACATCTTCACTCCTGCTGTTCTCTTTGCTGCGAATGCCTTCCCCACCCCAAAGGTCCAAATCCTCCTTCTGGTACTTCAGTTCAAGTACCACATCACCTGGGGAGTTTCTCATCGCTCCAGCCTCTGCATGGATTCCTCTGCTAACCCGAGCCAGCATCTGCCCTCTTTGCCGTGCAAGCTGGCCTGAGATGGCAGCCACTCGCACACTTCATCACATCTTTCCCAGCCTATGTGGAGTCGTCTTGCCTGCCTCCCCCCAACAGGACTCAATAAATACTGGTGCTTTTGTTCTAAGACCAGGGACCAAGCTACAGGATTTGTCCCTCTTATTTCTTACAGCACCGACACCCACAGTAATGATTCAATAAGCATCTCTTGAAATTTCAAATGGCCTAAAATAGAGTCAAGGATTACTCAACGAATAGCTGCTTCTTCCCTTACCCTGTCTCCTTTTGGGTGTGTTGCCCCCGCTGAGAGCCTAGACGGGGAGAAAGGGATGATGTTTCCTCCCTTCCCTACATCTTGTGGGGTAGCCTTTCTCTCTGCTTCTTCGAGGAGGGCTTCAGCAACGCCACGTGGCTCGCTGGAACTTCTGCCCACATGGACAGACCCTTTGGCAAGATGTTTAGGTTGCCATAGGGAAAACCACGAGTCACACCAAGACTTGGAGGCTGACATCTGGGGTACCTGGATACAGCCACAGAAACCCTGGCAACAACAAGTGCCACGCCGTTCACAGTGGCTGCCTCTGGAGGTGAGCGCATGGAGCAGGAGACTTTCATTTGTTTCTCTGACATATTCCTGCCTTATTTGAATTTGTCCTGATGAGTGAGATTTGTCATTCTGAAAAGAAAAAAAAAAAGACACCTCCTCCAGGAAGCCTCCAAGACTGATATAAAAGGACTTCTCAGCATTGCAGTTTCTTGCACTGTTCCTTCTGTCATTTCAGCAGCTACCACTTAAGGAGCATCACTGTCCTGGGAGCCTGGAGGGCAGAGGCTGTCCATCTTTCTGATACGGAGCCTATAAAAGGAACTTAGCGATACTATCTGGGGATGAATGCATGGGAGGGAGGGTAGGAGTGAGTGAGTTCAGCTCTGCGCACAAGCAACACTAAATCCCCCCAGCCTTTGCCCACACTCATCCTACTGAGACTGGCTAAGGGCCAAGAGTGGCCATTTGGGAGTGCTGGGCCACCCCAAGATGCCTGAGATTAATGACAGCGCTGCCAACACCTCACCAGTGTGCATTTGCAAGTCTTAATCACATGCAGGGGACCAGCACAACTGCTCCTCCACGAACTTGAATCCCCGCGTCTCCAACATTAATCGTTACCCCCTTTTTCCTCTCGTCCTGACACCTGCAGCTCCCTAAGGAAAGCAGGGAACAAAGACAAGAGGGGGCAGGAGAAGGAGCTCAGGCTGCAGAGATCGTTCGACTTTCACTTCAGCCCTGGGGACTGGTGAGGGTGAAATGTCTTGTATTTTTAGGAAATGGCTCAGCTAGAGGTGATGGTGGGGAGTTGGGTCCCAGCCCGGAGTCAGATCTGCATTGCAAATGCCTCCAAATCTGCCCAGGGAGATGGGATGTTTTTGATAGTCTGTTCTCCCAGCTGAGCCGACCCGCTGATGCCATCTTTGTCCCCGCCAGCCTCCCGCATCAACCGCGGGACCAGCTTTGGACCATTTATTTCAGGGCAACTGACAGATGATCCCCCCACCCCCCTCCCTCTCCCCACCCCCGGCACCACTCTGGGTGAATAAAAGAGACTGCCTGATGCTGCCTCTGACCAGCTGAAGAACAGATCCTGTTCACAGCCTTGGCTTTGCCGCTTACCAGCCTTGTAACCCTAAGCAAATGGCTTAACGTCTCGAAGCTTCAGGGACACCGTGTAGTTTGCTTGTTTGTTTAAATCCTCCCACTTCCTGGTGCCAAGAAACTTGGACCCTCCCAAGAACCTGTCTTGGAATTAAGGCATGAGGATGCCTCTTCTAAGATGCAAAAACGCTTGAAAACTCAGCTCGGTCTTGAACATTCAAGAATGAATCTGCTTATCAGAGAAAATCAGCTTAGCAGGGCCTGGAAGAGGGAGTTTGGGTAAGTTTTGACTGGGGGGAGGGGAAAGGTAGAAGTTTAAGGGAGGAAGTTGCTCCCCGAGATAAAGAGACTAGTGTTGATGACCGGAAGGGCTGTGGGCACCAGAACACAGGCCTCAGCTCCCCATCTAAGACAACAGATAATACAAAGGAAACTTCCCAGCTACCAGGCATCACCCTTAGGGCGACATGAATTCTCTCTTTGGTTATAAAACCCCTTTTACAGATAATGAAACCAAGATCCAGGAAGGCTCAGTGCCTTTTGCAAGTTAACGCCAGCAGCACCCATGGGAGCCAGCCTGAATCCCACACTTCCAGTTGACAGCAGGGGATACCACACGGTTCTCAGGGACACTGGGCATTTGGGTGGGTTGGAGAGTGGGGACAGGACAGAAGGAGAGAGCAAGGGGTGAAAAAAAGGCCCTGAGAGCTGAGCTCCAGGCACTCCCAGTTGCTCCGGAACTGCCTCGCTCTGCAGCCAGGCTGGAGATCAGAGACACAGTATCCCGCAGAAGGACTGGCTGGCGGGACAACCTTCCTTCCCTCCTTGGCTCCTTCTGGCTCCAGTTGGCCTAACACTTTGGAAACTGTTACCATGGAGACCACTCTCCAGTGGCCAGAGCCGGGAGCTGGGGCCCAGGGCCTGGAGGTGGAGAGAAGAGGCTGATGCTGAGCTGGGGGGTGAGCCCTAGAGGCCTGGGGGAGGTGGTGCGGGGTGTCAGATGGCCAGAGGCAGGAGGCCAACCCAGCCCCAAGGGGCGGGTATGTTCCCGGGTCTGCTGGGGCCTGCCAGATTCCCCTAAAAGCTAGCAGAAGACAATACCACCAAAGCACAGGAACAAATTTTTCTGTCCTTACCATGCCTTAGATATGTGTGCAGCACCTACTGTGTGCAAGATCCCATTCAGGGCACTGGCATATAATTATAAGAAATGCACAGATCCTGTGAAAATCATCCCAGTACAGAATGTGTCCACTAATAAAAGTCTTAGAACCCCCAATAAAGAGGATATGAATCAGCTCAACAAGAAGCTGTTCCCTGGTTGGTTTTTATTTTGGGGATCATTATTGGTCACGTGTGTCTAATATTTGCAGCAGTAATAATAATAGCAGCAGGAGCAGGAAGAGCTGCCATTTAATTAGGACATACTACATGCTTTATTCACATCAACACTTTTCGCTTCACCACCAGGGGATTTCATGGATAATGAAATCAAAGTCCAGAGAGTTTCACTCACTGACCAAAAAACAAACATCTGTGTATTAGTTTTCTGTTGCCACTTTAACAAATTACCCTGAAGTTAGGGGCTTAAAACAACGCACATTTATTATCTTGCAGTTGCGGAAGTCAGAAGTCCAAAATCTGTCTCATGGGTTGAAGTCAACATGTCAAGAAGGCTGGTTCCTTCTAGAGGCTCTAGGAGACAATCCACATACTAGTCTCCTCCAGTTTCTAGTGGTGCCTACATTCCTTGGCTCACGGCCCCTGCCTTTGTCTCTGCTCACGTACCTAGATGATGTGTGTGTCCCTCCCAAGTTCATAGGTTAAAACTTGACACGCAGTGTGATAGTGTCAGGAGGCAGATCCTTTGTGAGGTGACTAGGTTATGAGGGTGGAGCCCCTGTGAACAGGATCAGTGCCCTTATAAAGGAGACCCCAGGGAGCTCCCTCACCCCTCCACACAAGGACACAGCCAGGGTGCTGCCAATGAGCCAGGAAGCAGGCTCTTACAGACAAAAGACCTGCAGGTGCCTTGAACTTGGAGTTCCTCATCTACGGAAATGTGAGAAATAAGGTATGCTGCTTATAAACCCACTTGGCTATTTCAGAATATTTCAGTATAGCAGCAGTTGTCCTGCTCCACTTCATTCTCAACCCTCCCGCCGCCTCCCTCTTCTCAGGACCCTTGGGATGACCGTGGGATCACCAGATCATCCAGGATCATCTCCCCAACTCGAGATCCTGAACTTAATCACATCTGCAGAGTCCTTTTTGCCAGAGGAGTTAACATCCATGGGTTCCTGGGATTATGGTATATGTGGGGAATATTGTTCAGCTGGTAGTGGCAGAGCCAGGATTCAAACCCCTACGTCTGTCTAAGTGATGAGTGTACCATGAGGTCAGCCAGAGCATCCCTGACGCTTCATCCCCAGGAGAAGAGTGTCTGGGCTCTCCAACCAGCATGCTGCGGGGATTCTCACGAAGCCCTAGGCCCTAAACAAAGGCAGCATGGAAGTCAGTTTCCCAGATCACCACCTTCCTGCCTTGATCTGGAGCGTTCATTTAGCAGCAAAGGAAGATCAAAGGCTTTCAGACCAGACAGTACTGGGCTTCAGTCTCCACAATGACCTCTGCCAGCTCTGTGACCTTAGGCATGTATTTTGCCCTCACTGAGTCTCAGTTTCCCCATCTGTGAAGTGGGCATAATTAGACCCATCACACAGAGCTATTGTGGAGGCAGGAATAAGGTTACAGAGAGAGCTAACAGAGAATTGGAGCACAAGATAGGAGTATTATTATTATTATTATTATTATTATTATTATTATTATTGAAAAGGTAAAATTTTGTCACCAGTCAGTTCTTCTTGAATATCTTGTTAGACCGTAGATGCCCTCCTTGGGCCTCACCCTGAAGATATGAAATGCTGAAAAGCAAAACTCCCCTAGGGTGTTGCTCCTGTTAGCCCTATGGGCCCAGACCCTCCTCAGAGAACCCCAAGGACAGACAATAAAGGCCCAATCACAGAAGAAAATTGTAACAGAGTAGGAAGCACTAACAACTTCCCAGGAGGAAATAATTACAAGTTCCCATGCTGGTTCCCGGCCCCATTAAAGGGGTGTGCATTCTGGGAGCGGGGGTAACCGCACACTTAACCTCAGGCACACCAACCGCCGCCTTTCCAAAGCCAGACATGTGACGTGCAGAAGAAAATGAGAAAATCAAGGCCTCATTTCAGCCCAGAAAATACACTAAAGGCTGTAATTAAAAAGCCTCTGGAGTATTTCCAAATGAATAGCCCACCCCTAAAAAAAAATATTTTGACAGGCGGGGCTGAATTATTCAGTAGACATTGCTCTTTCTTTAAAGCAGAGCCTGGGTTGGCAAGAGGTTGTTTTGTTTCCACTTTATTTCTCCCCTGGAGTCTTTATAGTCCGGATTTCACTAGGACTCCAAGAACGCCCTCTGCAGAGCAGGGCAGGAGAGCTGAGCTTCGGTGGTGACTAATGCCTCAGTCACTAGCCACATGCACATTCATTTAAATTAAGGAGTAGGAGGGATAGTTACCCTGCTGGAGACTGCTAATTTCATTGAGGAAATGCTAATTATTTTTTCCTCTTTTTTCCCTTCCTGGCTAGAACGCCAGTTACATAAGAACATTGCTATTTGCTAGAACTAAACATTAAGCTAACAAATATAATGATGTCGCTCCAAGATGCTCTAGCTCTGTGTAAACATTCTCAGTAAAGTGGCAGGAAGGGCTTGCCCAGGGCAGAATTCTTACACCTGTTGTGGTAGCACAGAAAGCAAGTTCAGCTGACTGCCTCCAGCAGTGGCAAAGTGAAGGTTACACCAATCACTTGTTCCAACTCAAAACTGTGAACCCATGAGTAAGCCTGTGCACCTCAAAATGGAAAGACAGCATTGCCACTGATTGATAAAATTGACAAAGCAACTATAAAGTGAGAAAGGAAGAATGCTTGGGACCTGCCTAAACTGGTCCCTTAGAGTATTTTACCTGCTGAAAAGTTCAAATCTCTAATTGTCCAGTCAATGCACAAGCAGCTATTGAGCACCTTCTACTTTCAAGGCACCAGGGAAACAACAATGAATGAGACCACAAAATCCTTGACCTGGAGGAATTTATATTCAAGTGGGGAAAGACAAATTGCAAATAAGAAAGTAAATATATGAAACAGTGTCAGACAAAGCTAAATGCTACAGACAAATCTAAAATAAGAATGGAATTCAGAGGGACTGGGAAAGAGGATACTTTACTGAACTGAGATGAGATAGGAGACAAGTCAGGCAGAGGTACAGCAAGTGCAAAGGTCCTGCGGTAGAAACAGAGGGCTCAGTATGGTGTGGCTGGACCCCAGTGACAGAGAGAAAACAGGTGATGAAGAAGAGTGGAAGATGTGATGGGGAAGTGGACAGGGTCAGATTATTCAGTAGGTTATAAAGAGAATGTGAGTTGTATTTTAAATGAGAAGCCATTGGCGGGTTTCAAACTAGGATGTAAAAGTAGAACAATTACTCTAGTAGATCAAGGGACACTTTGGAAGGTGTGTTAGTTACACTGTCACTATGGCTATCAATCCCATTAGCCCACTAGGGTCAGATTTGTATTGGGAGTTGATTTTTCAAAAAACAGGGATTGTCAGGGCACAAAGAAAATTATCCTGTACCCCCCTTGGTTCTTCTAGGCTGGCAAATAAGCAAACAAACATCAGACAGATTGATAAGAGAAAAAAAGTCAAGAAGTTTAGTGATAACATGGATATCTCCCGTACAAGTGGAGAGACCAAACAAGACTGAATAACTCAGCTCATGGCTTCAAGAACCATTTTAAATAGCTTGGCTAAGACAGAAGGACTTTGTGGCAGAGAAAGGAAGATCAGTAAGGGAGCTTACCACGGAAGGCACAGTAAACAAAGGTATGCAGATTACATTCTGTGTTCTCTATTGAGAATAATTACGGAGCTCTTCCCTGTACACTGAGGGAGACACCCTTATAGAGAGTTTACATGTAAATGTTGATTTCAAAAGTAACCTCCTCCTGGCCTTTAGAAGCCCCCCCCCTATGAAATAAGCCTCTTGTCAAAGACATTTTGGGGTGGCATTACTTGCTCCCCTATAGGTTGGATTTACTTCCCACCTCTGGGATGTTTCTGAACAATAGGATGCAAGATGGCAGATTGGTGGGGGAGGCTAGGTCTGTAATTTATCCAACATATATTGCTAGGCACCTACTCTAGGCACAGTTCAAGGCACTGGGGATACACCAGTGAAGAAAGCAGACCCAGCCCACTGTCACACAGAGCTCTGCCCTCAATGTCAGAAGGTTGCAGGGACAGGGAAGTACCAGGAATGTGGCAGTGCTGATAAGGAGCTCCTAATACAGCCTGGAGGGACCTAGGAGTAAATGGAAGGAGAGGTAAGTGGAAGGATGGGCTGGAGGTGCAGGAGGAGAAGAGATGCCATTCAGAATGACTATCATGTGCAAAGACTCAGAGATCCAGAGAAAACCCAAGGAACAGCATTATGACTTGATTGGAACAGAGAATGTGAGGGTGGAGAAGTCAGAAAGACCTCCTAAGTCACATCGAAGAGTCTGGAGCTTATCCCAGGGGACCCAGTGAGCCATGAGAAAGATTCAAGCTGGAGAAGACATGGACCCCAGAGCTCTGTGTTAGAAAGATCAAGCTTCTCCGGGAGGGAGAAGAAACCAGTAGGGCTGGGGTGAAGGCAGGAGTTGAGGAGTCCAGAGGGGAGGCTGGTGTGATCATTCAGGTAAGAGACTAGAGAAATCTGACCTACAAAAGTGGCACTACAGATGGAGAGATGGATGGACTAGTGAGTCATAAATGAGATGGATCCAAAAGGACTTGTGACTGGTGAGATGCTGGGATAGGAAGAGGTAGGGGTCAAGGATAACAATTGAACTTCTAGCTAACAGATCAATTTATGGTGGATAAAAAAAGCTGCTGAGGGGTTGGGGAAGATGTTGATGGAACATCCAGACCTACTCTGTCCAATATGGTAGCTACAAGTCTCACTGGATATAGAGTCCTGGCAATGTGACTAGTAGGATGAAAAAAGTAAATTCTAATTTATTCTTAATTTGAGCTAATTATTAGAAAAATTTTAAGTATGTTCAGAACTTAGTTATGTAACTCTACTTTTGCCAGTGGTAAACTTTCTGAAATCTAAATCCAAATCAATAATTTTTGATCCAAGTCAAAATGTGCTTTCAGTGTAAAATATACACCAGATTTCAAAGATTTAGTACAGAAGAAAAGAACTATACTTCTGTTTCATGTCTCTCTTTAAAGCCTACTATATGTTTAATACAGAAGCTCAAACCCTTGGGATTTATTGACTACTTGCCTTTCACAAGCAGGTTTGCAGTTGCCAAGTCTTAAGTCTTAGAATGTTAAAAAACAGCTTTCCCAAATACCCTATTGAGTTAACATCTCAATTGAAAGCAGTTCTTAATTAATGAAACAAATAATTAACCTTGAGAACAAAAGTTCTCTTTGTTCCCCAAAGCACAGTCCATGAATTTGCTAATTTAATGCAATTAATATTTACTAAGAACCTATCATAGGCAGGACCCTACTTAATGGTAACATTTTCAATACCATTGGTAATGAGAGGTATTCATTAACCACCATTGGTAATAAGGGATATTCATTAACCATCGCAATGTAACAAACCATCCTAAATCTCAACCAACGACTATATACTCAGTTTCAACCAACGTCCATTCACTTAGTTTCAACCAACGACCATTTACTTCTCTTGCACACACAGGCCGGTGATCAAGGGGACACTCAGCTGGGCAGTTTTGTTGTCTTTGGACCAGTATCCATTTCTTCCTCCTAACTTTTAGTGCTGACGTCAGAAAGCTGGCTGAACCCAAAGTCCACAGATGGGTAAATAGAGGGCACCCCAAAAGTTTTAGTGCCACTTTAATATTTGTGGGAGTATAAATGCTACAAACTTACAGAATGTAACGCCTGAAAATTTATTTCACTTTTTTACATTTACTTAGCATTATAAATGTCAAATATCATACTTTGAATTTTTTGTTTAAATCCCTCATGAAGATGGCAATTGACCACCAGTCAATTGCAAAGTCACATGACCAAGGGCTTGGCTACAAGAAGGAACAGAGTTAAAGTCAGTGATGCAATTTTCCCTGTTGATACAGAGAGGTTGTGCAAGGAGCTTGTGTGCTGGCAGGGTGAGCTAGGGGAGGGGGGAACTGATTACAAAATGCTACAAAGTGTAAACAGTATTAAGAACCCTGTTTATTTATTTATTTATTTGGATTTATTTCTTTTTATTTTATTTTTTACATCATTTTTCATTTTTGCACAATGTATGCATTTTCGTCAGTTATTGTACCCATACAATTCCCAACCCCCTTGTTTTCATCCTAAAAAATATGGAATGCTTCACGAATTTGCATGTCCTCCTTGTGCAGGGGCCATGCTAATCTTCTCGGTATCGTTCCAATTTTAGTATATGTGCGGCCGATGCGAGCACAAGAACCCCGTTTAAATGAGATCCTGAGGCTAGAGGGTGTCCCGGCATGCATAAATCAGCAAACTACAGGAAAAAACCTTGCCTCTTCCACAGGAAGTGATCCTTTCCCCCTCCTGTGGAACCAAGTAGGAGATGTTCCAGAGGTTTTAGGGGGCTGTTGGTCTGGGATTCTGGGAAGAGCACATGCATTGCACTCTGAACACACTCTCCAATCCAGTCTCTATTGTTGTTTCCAAATAAACTCTGTTTTGTTGTTGGGATAACTGATCTTTTTTTTTTGAGGTCAACAACAACAAAAAAACACAAATACACTGCTTTGTGCTACTGTCAGCCTATCAATAACCAGTACTATGAATGGGCCAATCCTTGGAGTTCTTATCATGATTGCAAGATAGATGCCCTTCAGCAATGACCTTTGGGAAACCCTGGGAAAATGAAGATCACAGCACATCTGGGCCACACAGTGGGGGCGACGGGGGTAAATAAGTTATTAGGCATTTTTTTTCCCACCTTCCCACCACCAGTGTGGTTACCCAGGGCCGAGGGGCATGGCTGTGGGTCACACACACGCCTATGATTGTGGATACCTGGGCCCAGGGAGCACAGGAAGTGCAGACACCTACGCCAAGAGGCCAGGTATAAAAGGGCAGCATCACTCTGAGATAGGACTACAGTGGGGGAGCATTCTGAAGTGAGACCACAAGGCCTGCCTGACTCCCAGGCCCCCTGCCCGCCCATGCCTGCCTCCTTGCAAGCCAGCCTCCCTGCCTGCTGTGCCTGTGTACCTGGTTCCCTGAGAGAGCATTACAGGCCTGTAAAACCCTACCAAGGGCTCCCAGACTCTCTTTATCCGTCCACCCAAATCAACAGTGAACCTGCCTGGTGCTTGCTTGCACTAGAGGTGGGGAGAAAGCACAAGCAAGAGAGTCAAGGGTGGGAGTCTAGAGTTTTATGGGCTCACTCTCACTCTTTATCTGTGAATTTAAAACACATGAGCAGGAAGAAAAAGAAACAGAACTCCAAGTGGCCCCAAATGGCCAGTTAGCCTAAATCAACAGGAGTGAGGTGGGGGGAGGCAGTTTGAGTCTATCCAATATGGCTACAACCTCCCATTTGAGCTTGCCCTTTTTTTTTTTTTTTTTTAATTATTTATTTATTTATTTTTTATAGAGGCATGTTTTATTTATTTATTTGTTTGGTTTTTTTTTGTTTGTTTGTTTATACATGCACTGGGTACAGTCAGAAGCGCGGGAGGGTGAGAGAATTCACCAGAGCCAGAGCGGGGAACAGAACAGGCAGACTGATGAAGTACACTGCTGAGGGGAGCAGCGGGCGGCAGGAGAGGTCTGCGCGCCATGTGGGACCCTCCTCCGGTGGCCGGGGAGCAGCCGGGGATCGAACCGGCGCCGCAGAGGCCGCGGGCAGCTTCGCAACCCAGCGCTCAACCACTGCGCCACCGGGGAGGCCCGAGCTTGCCCTTTTTGAAGTGGATGCACTTAAAAGAAAATCCAACGGTCATGGTTTATATTACATAAACGAACATAAAATAAATGACCATGGACCCCGTTCTGGAAAATAAACATGAGCCAGGCAATATGCTATTTCAGAGGCATCCTTTCATTTGCTCCCCACAAGGCATAATGAAATAGATCTCACTGTCCCCATTTACAGACTTTAACTATGAAGGTCAGAAAGCAAGTGGATTCCCAAGATCACACAATAAGGAATCTGACTCAATCTCAGGTCTGTCTTATTATAAAACTTATGCTCTTCACCTCTTGACTAGAGTTCCTGAAATTAAATGTAACAACGACAGAGAGAGAGAGAGAGAGAGAGAGAGAGAGAGAGAGAGAGAGAGAGAGAGAGAGAGAAACCCCATCTCTGGGTCTTGGAACTTTGAGTGGATGCTGATAGGTAGAAAAATAAGAAAGACATAGTAGATGGAGGGAACAGAATGAATAAACATACAAAGGCAATTGTGAAAGTCTCAGGGTATGTGTGGGAAGAAGCAAGTCAATCATTTTGACATCTCAGGAAAATTAAGAGCAGATTCTGGGCCGAGGAGTCCATATTCAATGCCACAGGCAAGAGGGAGGCACTGAAGGTTTAGAGGAGAATGACCTCAAAGCCAAGTGTCTTTCTCGTTAGCCACAAAAGAACTGAATCCTAGCAAGGAAAAGTGCATTCAAGAGACCAGGACAAAATCAGTGGGGGGAGGAGGCAGGGAGGGGAGAATTGAGTGAAAATCCAGGGGAAATGGAGTTTGTGAATTTCACCAAGAGCTACACTCAGAGAATCCTTTATTCATCTACTCCAAAGTGAGGACAGAAAAGCATTCCCTTGAGGGGGGCCTGCGGAACTGGCTGCAAACCCTTCAGACACTCAAATTCAGGCAGATGATTAAAAAGCACTTTTTTACAACTGAGTGCTTCTCTTTCTTTTAACTATGCTATTTAGTTTGTCTTCAAATTAACATAAAACTGCATTAGCCAGTTCCTTCAGCCAACAGGAGGGGAAGAAATCACTGCTAGCTTTTTAATATGCCCTCTTAGACTGCAAAGGGAAAAAAGGGTAATTATGTACATAAGCATATTGCTCAATTCCTGCATTTAAAAAAAAAAGACATTCTGAACAATTCTTCTGGCATCTATTAATCCTGTTAACTATTATCTAAAATTATTATAGCAAGCAAAGAAAAGCAGGATATAATGAATAGATTTTTTTTTAATAAATAGTATGGGTGTGCTATATAGGGTGGTGAATTGTCAGCTAGAAGGAACCTCAGAAATTATGCAATTGAACCCATTCATTTTACAAGAGAAAGTAGCCTGAGAGGCCAACCAAGCTCTCCAAGTCACAGCAAGCTGGGATCTTGGTACGCAGAGAAATGCATCTACAAGGGCAGGTTCAGAAATGTAAGTTGTCTTTGAGTGTTGACTGTCCACTCACTGAGCTAAGCACTTTTCAGGTATCAGCATATCTGTTCTTGGCGAAAGTCTCATGAAGTAGGTACTGTTTTTAATGCCCATTTTACAAAGAAAACCAAGATTCAAAGAAGTGAAGTTGCTCATCTGAGGACCCACAGCTAGTAAACGGTAAATTTAGCTAGAATTTGAATGCAAATCTAATATACACTTAGGTTCTTTTCTTTTTTAGATTTTATTTTTTATTTATTTATGCATAGAACTGGGGTACAGGCCAGAGGTGCCGAGTGGAGGAGGGGAGAAGAGGATTCACCAGAGACAGAGTGGGGAGCAGAACAAGCAGATCTACTAAAATACACTGCTGAGGGGATATAGGGTCAGGAATGGACACAGGGCAGGTTTTCTAGGATCCAGCAGACCAGGTAAAGGAGGAGTCAGAGTCCTCAGTGGTTTTTGCAGGTCTTTTATAGGGATTTACCCGGTACACAGCAGGCAGGGGTGCTGGGAGGCTAGCAGGCCTCCCAGGCCCTGGCGAGTCTTCACTTTATCTGGGTTCGCTGGCCTTCTCTGCCTCTCTCTCGGCTTCTGCTCCTGCTGGCATCGCGTGACGCCGCCCTTAAAAGCCCAGTCTCAGCCCAGGTGAATCCCATCTACCTAGGCCCACACCCTACTCCAGGTGCCCGCCATCAGGCATGCATTCAGGACCGCAAGGATCCATCATCTATCCTGATGGCGGGAGGGCAGAAAAGCCTGACATTTTTTCCTTGCCTACAGGGGAGCAGCGGGCGAGGCAGGAGAGGTCTGCTGTGCCATGTGGGTCACCTCCCTGGCCAGAGATCGAACTCATGCTGTAGTGGCTGATGATGGCGTGATAATGCTGAGACTTAGGCCCTGCTTATGTTCTTTTCATAAGCAGGAGGGAGTTTCCATACTTATGTTCTTTTCACAGGAATATTTGCAAAGGAGAATATTAACTGTGATGGGGTTCAGGACATGTTGCCCCAAATGCTACTTTGGCATAAGGATCATTGTGAGCGGAAGGCAGTTGAGAGAAAGGCAGACACAGGAAGAACTCTTTGCTCTCCCCTTTCTGTCTAAAAATAGCTGGTGAATTCCCTTTGCATAGAGGATACAAGTTGCTATTTGTAAAAGTGCCCCCCCCTCCAGTATCAGGAAAAGGCGGATAACTTATCACTGAAGGTGACTGGAGTCTGCAAAACAAGTCTTACTATCCAACATACTGTACCTGGTTACCCCCCCCACACCCCCATTTAATATCCATTAGGGCCCAAACTTTCTTTTCCTCTGTTTAGTCATTTCTTCCCATCTTAGCACCATTTGTCAAAATGCTAAATAAACCTGTAAGTCTAATCTTTTCTTTGGATTTTTACTTCTGTGACGCTCCTCTGTACCTAAAAATTTAACAAATAAAATGTCTTGGTCTTTTCTCCTGATGATCTGCCTTTTGTCGGTTTAATTTGCAGTCCTTGTTGACAGAACCTAAGAGAGTAGAGGAAAAGTTTTTGTCCCCTACAA